TATATATATTGGTTGAACGAGTTGCTTATGACTCTCTACATGTTGAAGTAATAAACTAGTACAAACATTAAAGAGGGATTGGGGACTTCTTTTTGGTTCAATATAAGAACCAAAGAACTCCCAAGAAAAAAAAAAGACTAGGGACCACCCTCCCAAAAAAGGGAAATTTCAATGACTCAACAAAGAAAGAAAAATGAATGTAAAATGCATTTGCACAAAATGTAGTCATGTGTCCATATAAGCAATTCTGAAGTGAGGAACATCTAGAGTATCTCCTTGCATTAGGTAATGCAGGGTGGAGGGTTAACAATAACCCCAGTCAGGTTAGAATGTGATCCAATTTGGGCCAACCAATTTGCAGGATGATTTCCTTCCTAATAGATGAAAGTGAACTGAATTTGTACCTTGCTACTATGATCTTTGATTTTATTAAGCCAGTATGAGTGATGCCAGAGAGCTCCTTCCTCATGATTCAAGAGGTTAATAATTATAGCAGAATCCACTTCTAACCAAAGCTTATTCCACTTAGCCTTAATGGCAAGGATGATTGCCCAATACACAACAATAAGTTCAGTCTCAGTTGCATCAGTGGCCATAACTGGGGTGTAGAAATATAACAGGCACTTACCCAAATGATTTTTGTAAATGCCACCCACTCCAGCACCATTTTTGGTAAAGCTTCCATCTGTATTAATCTTCACAATGGGAGAGTTTGGGGTTTTCCAGTAGACTCTAATAACTTGAGGATGTTCAGAATTGATTGTTGGACAGGAGTTGGAGATGTTAAGAAATCTTTTCCCGTTAATCATCTTATGAAGATAAGATAGACAATTTCTAGCAGTTTTCCCAACATTTAGATTAGCATCTTCAAACTTAACTTTGTTTCTTTCCATCCAGATAAACCAGGCAATGATGAAGGGAATGGTAGCAAATTTTCTCTGCTGCCAGCTCAACCAACACTTGACAAGCCTGTCCCAAGTGAAATCATTCTCATCAATGGTCAATTGATTCAAGATTTGTTTCCAAACCAGTTGGGCAAAGTTACATTCAAAAAATAAGTGATTCAAAGTTTCCTCCTCATTCTTACATAACCAACATTTAGATGGACCCCTCAATCCCTTGAGTTTAAGTATGTCATCAGCAGGGATAATTTTATGAAATATTCTCTAGCAAATAAAGGACATAGAAGGGGATAGAAATTTGTTCCAAATCTTGTCTCCCCAGAGTGTTTGCTCCCAACTGAAACTTTTGGAGTATATGGCTTTGGTAAGGCTTTGATGGGAGGTAGTCTGCCACAGAACTTTATCAGTTGTACTTCTGTTGAACTTTATGTTGGCCACTTTAGTAATAGAGTGAGCTTGCAGTAGATTGGAAAGCTTGGCTAGTGACCACTCATTTCCATCCTAGCAATCAGCCACTTTCAAATCACTATTGTAGATATTAGTAATGGGGGATAACCAGTCTTTGGGATACCAATTGTCAAGCCAAAACCTGATATCACCATTACCCAGTTCCCACCTTTAAGTGGTTTCAGCAATATGTCTGAAATTCAGCATTTTCACCCAGATTTTAGAATCTTCAGCTTTCCTTAGCACCAGGGTGGGGTGTTGATCTTTGCAATACTTACTCCACATAAATTTGGCCCACGGGGAATCTTGAGCTCTGAACTTTATCCAAAGTTTACAAAAATTGATTTGAAAAAGTTGATTAAGGTCCTTAAAGCCAATGCCCCCAGAAATTTGAGGTTTAGCAACTTTTTAAAAATTCAAAATCTTTTTGAAAATTAACCAAAACTAAAATATTTTAAAATATATATATTTATAATTAAATATGATAAAAACAACAAGAAAAGAAAATGATAAATTTGTCAAGTTTTCTTATCTCGAGTTTGAGATTACTTACTCTTTGCTTGTGCGGCACGAGTATCCCGGTTTGCACCAGTTTTGTTCACATCCTTGCGAAATTTCATATTCTGCATAAAATCTAACAAAATCTCACAAATTTTCACAAGTTTTCCTCACAAATGTCCATCTTCACATGCCACAAATGTATAAGTTCAAAACTGCAAATTCTCTGCACTATGTTCATATTGTTCTCGGGTCAGTGCTGAGATTATGGTTCCCTCTACTACCTCTTAGGTTGGATCTGACTCCTTGAGCATTCCTTCCCAATGTAGTGGTATATTCCCGACCAGTTTTTGAGTTGGATGTGAGTCTTTGTGCTTTTGTTCTCAATCTGATTTTCTCCTGCTACCTCTTGGGCTGGATCCGAGTCATTAAGCATTCCTCCCCAATGTAGTGATATGTTTCCATTTAATATCAACCTTCGGGGAAGAGGATACAGAAATCCACTTCCACATTGCCTTGCAATAATATCAACCTTCAAGGAAGAGGATACAGACAACCACTTCCACATTGCTTTGCAAAAATATCAACCTTCGGGGAAGAGGATACAAACATCCGCTTCCACATTGCTTTGCAATAATATCAATCTTCGAGGAAGAGGATGTAGACATCCACTTCAACATTGCTTAGCAATAATATCAACTTTATAGAGGAAGAGGATACAAACATCCGATTCCGCATTGCTTTGCAATTGTCCAAATATCAAACTTTAGAGGGTTGATGGAACAAGCCCTTCAATTTATTCAATGTATCTCGCTCTCATTCTTTGAAATCAATTTAAGACCACCTTAAATGGAGTAAGGTACTCGATTTTTTATCCAAAATCGATACCCAAATTTTAAATTCCCATTTTGGGGCCAACACCTAAACCCTGATTCTTACTTTCCAATATGCCTAGAACCTAACTATTTGAAATCCACCTAATCCCCAGCGAGAGTTCTGAACCCTCGATATTGCTTAGATATTTTACTTGCTACTTCACCAGCGGAAGTAATTATCACTCGAAACTATTCTTTTGTCCTAGGTCTGTTGACTTAGAAATCTATGTTGGTTTTGTTGATCTCGTCGGTCAATGACAATATGCGCAGTATGCTTGCCCAACACACCACACCTTTTGGGGGTCCATTCGTTGACCTCATTTTTGGTTGAGGTATAATTTTTCCCCTTTAGTAGCCTAGGGTCTAGCCATAGGATTTTCCTATTGACTATTCTTAGAGGACTAGAAATGGAACCCTCACCATTAGAAATTACAAACCCTTCTTTTCTCAACTTGAAGTTCCACATGTTGGTCTCAACCTCTAAATACTTAGTAGGTGGGGTCACTACATGGGAAACTCAGGATGAGTCACCCTTGGGATTTTTGGACCTTAGGGTTGACCTAGGGTGTTGGTCTGGAGCTAAGGCATTCACTACACTCATCTACCCTCACAATCACTCACAACCCTGAACTCAAATTTCTAGCCTAGATCCCTTGATCTTTTGGGATACTCATGTAGATGGCCCCCTAAACCTACTAGCCCTAAGGTTATGGTTTGGCTAAGACCATTATGTAGAGGACGCAAAATGGGGTTATCATTGGTCCATGGCTTATTGGTGATTCTTGGTACCTCAAATCTACCAAAATACCCATCTTGGCCTTTTACCCCTAAAACACCCCCAAATTACCAAAATACACCTCTTGGACCCAAAATTCCAAAAATTCCCAAAAAATCCCAATAAATCCTAACTATTCCGAATGTCATTTCTCTCATCTATCACATGACCCAATTTGGCCAATTTTACCATCTTTAACCAAAAACCAAAACCCCCAAATTGCCCTTTAAAGACCCAAATTTCCCCAAATCCAACTCAAATGTCCACCAATTTAATCTCAATTGACCCCAATTCCAATCCTAAACTCAAATTAACTATTTATATGACCAAAATAAACAAAATACAAGCTCAATTGGTCCATGATTATAACCCAATTTTGATTTGGGTCAAAACCCTAATTTTGACCATATGACATAGTCTCACCAAATTGAACCCATAGCCTAGTCAATTGGCCTCAATTGATGTTGAAAAATCTTGATAACATTCATATACATCAAAATCAACCACCAATTTACCTTGGTGAAGCTTCAAATC